CTTTTAGGGGAATTAAGTGTGACATGAAAAATAGTTGAAGAAACTTGTCTAGGCTGGAGAGTAAAGGAGACAAAGAGAGGCTGGATGTGGTAGATCACACCTGTAATCCCAGCACTTTGGGAGGCTGAGGTGGGAGGATCGCTTGAAGCCAGGAGTTCAAGACCAGCCTGGGCAAGATACTGAGAGCCCACCTCATTAGAAAAAAAAGAGAAAGTGAGCAGGAGGTAAGGAGAATGCCAGCATGTCATTGTCCTGCCTGGATGAAAGACTGTTGAGTGGATGATGGGTGGACTGCATCTGCAGGGTATCAGGAGGTACAGCCAGGACCAAGGTATTCAAAGACAAATTTAGTTTAACACAAGGAAAAACTTTTTAACAAGATGTCTGAAAAATAACTAGGCAATCCTGGGTGAGTGCTGTGAAATCTTTTTTTTTTTGAAATGGAGTTTTGATCTTGTTGCCCAGGCTGTAGTGCAGCGGCTCCATCTTGGCTCACTGCAACCTCTGCCTCCCAGGCTCAAGCAATCGTCCTGCCTCAGTCTTCTGGATAGCTGGGATTACAGGCACACACCACCATGCCTGGCTAATTTTTATATGTTTAGTAGAGATGGGCTTTCACCACGTTGGCCAGGCTGGTCTCGAACTCGTGGCCTCAAGTGATCTGCTCACCTTGGCCTCCCAAAGTGGTGGGATTACAAGCATGAGCCTGGCCTGGTGAAATCTTTTATCAGTGATGAAGCTGGAGGGAAAAGGGACACACACACACTCACACACACGTCCTGAGAGTGTTGCACCAGCAGTGCAGTTGGCTTCTTGGTTTCATAGCTATTGCATCCTTGGAACTTTGGCCCATCATGGTTCTCTACCCCTCTTAGTACCTTTAGGCATCTACTTCTATTGCCATTTTTCCGGGACTTATATACTCCTCATTCAGATTCCCAATGTTAAGTCCCTGTTGGGCTGGCTGCCTTTGCTCCCAGTGCCCATCACTCATCCAGTCAGATGGGGGCAGGGTTAGGATCATGGGTCTAGGTGGGGGCACTATGAACATGAAATCTAGGGTCTAGTCTGATGTGACAGCATAAAGGGCCTACTCTAAAAATGCAGGTAATAGACAAAATTATACTTCCCCTTCTGCATTACAGTGTATGCCTGTATCTGTTCTGTTCTAAGCTTACAGACACTTGAACTACGGAGTTTAGATGGAGTCCCAAGTAAAACATGGTTGATTCTATAGCACCAATTAGTTACCTAATGTGTACCCCATAGACACACACAGTAAGTGTTTGTTGGGCTTGACATCTTCCAGGAAACCCTTTACTAAGGACCTAACAACACCGACTGAAATCATTATGAGGTCTCAGGCTTTTTTGGCTTGAGGAAGTAAGAGGCTCAGGTTATATAATAAAGACCTTGTTCTTATTAAATGTTCTGTAGATAATAGGCCTTTGCGGGCAGCATCTTAGACAAAGTCTTAACAATACAAAGAAGGAACCTGCATGTGGTCAGCACATTCTCACACCATCCATTGTACTTTTCAGCTGTATTCTTACTTTATTAGTAATAAGCCTCAGATATTTTTCAAGTATAAAATATTTGTTACAGTGCATTAGCTCCTGAGAATGGCCAGGCCCAGTCTATGGGTGGAAAGGGAAGAATAACAAACCTGGTAGAGCGCTTGAATGTACAGATGAAAAGTAGTTGTATTGAGTGACCTCAACACCTAGCTCACAGGCTAGATGTTCGAATAAATGCTCATGAAAAGAAACTATTTAATCTTTCTGGACTAAATGTACACTTATTTCCAATGTATATGTGAGAAATAGAACTTTATGCCCAGATTTATAAAATTCAAATTTGCACTTTTAAGGAACGAATTTTCATCATGGGCGTTTATGCCTTCACTAAGTATAGTCTGCTTTATATGACTGTGGGTTACAAAATGTTCAAGATTTTGGCAAAATGATAAATCATTTACATGTCTTAGAACTAAAACACCACCTTTATACTTGGCCCTTCACAATGGGGTGTTGTCTAAACACAGCTTCTTACAAAGCAACAATACACTGTGTAGTTTATATGAGAAACATTCCTTAAGCCTTCATTCCAACATAGAGTGGCAGATTTGGCTGCGTAAACATGTGCCTGTATATATTCACATATGAATTGTAGGCAGATTTAAATACTCTGTGGCATTGTGAAGTAGCTCATACATATAAAGAAAGATAGACACAAGCACACATATTTCATTAGCATACTTGATGGAGACTGTTCAAAATCTCCTTGGGAGTAAGGCATTTGTTTGGAGCATTTTAAATACGGAGTCCTTCTGGAAAAATAAGGGTGACTTATTTAGGCCCTTTGAAGTTAAAAACGGACTTTTCTTTCCAGGACTTTATTCCTTCCGAGTGCAAGTAACAACGGCATCACTTGTACTTCGATAAGAGGTCTGCTTGTGTGGCTTCTAGAAAGAGCAGCAGGAGCTGTGAATAATTTTACAGTGAGGAAGTTGCGACTGCAGATTTGCCTTTGTGACAGCTTCAACCTGTGGCCCCAGATAACCAGTGATTAATTGCCTGCCCTGGGTCCCTTCCTTTTTTCTGGCTCCAGGTTTTCCTTGACCCTGTTTTGAGACCATGAATTGCGTTCTGAGAGTTCTGTGTGGGCTGGCGTGCTTTGTGGAGCTGGTTGGGGGAGCGCGGCATGGTCAGGCAGACCGCAGCTTTCACTGTACCGCCGGGCTCGTTAGTGTGAATGAGCACGTGTCCGCGCTCACCGCGGAGCCCAGCAGCGCGGGCAGCCCTCTCGCCCCGAACGGCCACCGCGCCTTGGGGCCACGTCCCTTTGCCTCCACCACGCTCGCCTCTCCCCGGACGCTGCCTCCGTGCTCCGGGCGGCCGCCTCGGCCCAGCCAATCAGACGCGAGTGCTCGCAGCGGGCGCCGGCCAATCCGCGGCCAGCGTTCGATAGAAACGCGAAACCCTTAGGGGAAAAGCAATAACAAAAGCCTTTCACTGCAGACAAATGTTAAGTGTCTGTGCAGACTTTTCCTGTTTTTAATTTTATTACTGCAAGAATGGAGGGTTTGTTGTTTCTTTCATGTTTCCTTTCAAGCAATTTTAATTATACATTTGTGCTACATCAGGGACTCTGGAACGCAGTGATTCAGCCTATTTCATCTAAAGCTAAAATGCAGTAACCTTCTGGCAATACAGATATATTCCTGCACTGTAAATATAGCTGACATGCTAAAGAATTTTAAGCAGCTGCAAAGGTCTTTGACACCACACACAGTGCCCCAGAGAGCAGATGATGAGAAAACCAGCTCAGTCTTCCCCTTCTCCTCCTCTCCCACCCCCTCCCCTTTCCTGAAGGGATGGGCTCATAAAGAATCCTTTCCTCCAATTGTTCTGTCTTTTGCAAATTTTGACCAAATGCCTAATTACCATTGATTCGCATCGCAATATGAAATTTTATACTCAGTGGTTTTTAAAATATGTCCTGAGGGAATTACATTGGAATCAGCTGTGATTTGAGGAAATGCTTGCTTTGCTCCCTCCTAGCCTTTCCCCTGCTAGCCTATTGCTACAATAGACTGAATTAACACTGAGTAAATAATTCATCTGTTGCCTAAGTAATAGCAACATAGACCATATGGGAAACAATTTTAAAATCTCCTTTTGAGACTTTGGAAGGAATCCTTCTCTATTACTTGAGTCCCAACCACTCAAATATTTTACCTGCCGTTAAAAGGTTCCCAAGGAAATGAGTCTTACCTTGTGAGGTTTCCCTTACCGTCAAGGAGCCCATTACAGGTTTTCTGTAAAATTCAGAATGGCAGTGGTAATGCAAGTGAGCAAACCAGCTAGAAATAGACTTTGGCTAATGTCTTCTGGTGCTTCCAAGAAAGAGTAGGGGTAGGTGCAGAAAACAAAGACTTAGTTAAATATTTTCTTTCCTCTAGTATTTATGTATGTCTCAAAATCAAGATTCTATTAAAAATGCTTTAAAGAAGTTTTTTTTTTTTTTTTTAATTTGGCATTTGTCCTCTCAGAAATAAAGAGGATATTATATCTTGTTTCTCTGTGACATTTGGTATACCAAGCGCACTTAAGTTTAGTAATTCACAGATGCAGTGCTAAATTAAATTGTCTGTCTGCAAAGCAGTTGGAAAAAGCAGAATGGCTTGCAGGAAACAAGTGTGTTAGTTTTGAGATTTCTTTTCTAATCCTCTGAGGCAAATGCTTACCAAAGTTGATTCCAAAGATAACCCCAAGAGCAAATCTATTGTGCACATTTATTTTCTTAAGAGGACTATTTTAGGAGTCCTTAATATGAAACAAGACCAAACACTGAAACAGATACGGTACTGAGGCTGATTATTTTCTCACAAAACCGAAGAGGGGAGGATTAAGAAAGAGAAATCACAGTTGATTGTCTGTTATCTGGTAAGTCCCCACTCTCCCCTCTATGCCTATTTTTTATGCACCTGCATAATGTTTTTTCTTAATAAAAATCACCATCATTTTATATTGTTGAATTGGAAACAAAACCAACCGATTCCTTTCAGTCGCACTCTGGTTTAAGCTCTGGTAACTGGCGCTAGTTTATGTTGGCTCTTTGCCAAACGAAAGCAATTATGTGTAATAATAGAAAAATTAAGAGGTGAATGTTGCTGTTTTACAGCAGGACATGGCAAAAACCATTTCCTTCTGTCAGCAGTATCTTGATTACACTCACACAGTTTCACCCTTTTGTACCACATGCGCACGCGCACAAATGCACAACACACATTATTTCCTGTGGGTTTTAACTTGAGGTCACTGAAACCAGAAAGAGGAAGAATGCAAACCGCAGCTTTTGAAAGCAAATGAGAATAGAACTTTGCTGGAAAAAAAAGAAAAGAAAGAGAAAGGAAGAAAGAAGGGGAGAGTAAGTGAACTGGAAATAAGAGTAATCAGTGGTAACTATGATCCTTTTTCATCCTCTGCCTTCTGCAGGTGTTCTAGTGGTCAATGTCACCTGGAGGAACAAAACATATGTGGGAACCCTACTGGACTGCACCAAGCATGACTGGGCCCCTCCCAGGTAGGAGCAGGGCCTTTTATTTCCCTCCTTCCTGCATCCTGTCTTTGCAGAGAAACTATAGAGAGGGATTCATAACACATAAAAAAGTGTGCCTGTAATTGAAACCAGGCAAAGGAGAAATGAGCAGTAAGATTGAATGCAGTAAAATGCAGATACTAGATTTCTTTTCTATCAGAAGATCTGTACTCCCTACCCCTTCTCTCCTGCCTTTGTTTTCATTTTTTTTTTTTTTCAAAATGGGAATTTGAACTGGATTGGAAGCTAGCTACTTGAGCTATTTTTCTTTGGTTTTTGTGAGAAAAAATATAAGCCCTTGGTAGCCTGCCCTTTGCAAGTGTTGGAAATTGTCAGTCTTCTCCTTGACTGGGCCCAGCCCTTAAGCTACTGGAGTGCTGACTCCTCTGCTGCGTTGTGTACTTTGCGATTTCACCTGGCTCTTTCGGGGATGCTCATTTTCACATCTGTTGCTTGCTTCCATAGGTTTTGTGAGTCACCGACAAGTGACCTGGAGATGAGAGGGGGCCGGGGCAGAGGGAAGAGAGCGAGGTCTGCTGCTGCCGCCCCGGGCTCCGAGGCCAGCTTCACGGAGTCCAGAGGGCTGCAGAACAAGAACAGAGGGGGGGCCAATGGGAAAGGGAGGCGGGGCAGCCTCAATGCCAGCGGTCGAAGGACACCCCCAAATTGTGCCGCTGAGGACATCAAAGCCAGCCCTTCCTCCACCAACAAAAGGAAAAACAAGCCTCCAATGGAGCTGGACCTGAACTCCAGCTCTGAGGACACTAAGCCTGGGAAGCGTGTCCGCACAAATTCCAGAAGCACCCCCACTACCCCTCAAGGGAAACCAGAGACTACTTTTTTGGACCAAGGCTGCTCTTCTCCGGTATTAATCGACTGTCCCCACCCAAACTGCAACAAAAAGTACAAGCACATTAATGGCCTGAGGTACCACCAGGCTCATGCACACTTAGACCCGGAAAACAAGCTGGAGTTCGAGCCTGACAGCGAGGACAAGATCTCGGACTGCGAGGAAGCGTTGAGTAATGTGGCACTGGAATGCAGCGAGCCAAGCACAAGCATATCTGCTTATGACCAGGTGAAGGCACCGGCATCCCCTGGGGCCGGAAACCCGCCTGGGACCCCAAAGGGAAAGAGAGAGCTGATGAGCAATGGCCCAGGTTCCATTATTGGTGCTAAAACTGGGAAGAATTCTGGCAAAAAGAAGGGCCTTAACAACGAGCTGAACAACCTTCCAGTCATCTCCAACATGACGGCCACGTTAGACAGTTGCTCGGCCGCAGACGGCAGTTTGGCTGCTGAGATGCCTAAACTGGAAGCAGAGGGATTAATTGACAAGAAAAATTTAGGAGATAAAGAAAAGGGCAAGAAAGCTAACAACTGCAAAATGGACAAAAACCTCTCTAAACTGAAGAGCGCCCGGCCCATTGCCCCTGCCCCAGCCCCCACTCCCCCGCAGCTAATCGCTATACCCACTGCAACCTTTACAACCACCACCACGGGGACAATACCCGGACTGCCCTCCCTCACAACGACTGTTGTTCAGGCTACACCAAAGAGTCCTCCATTAAAACCCATTCAACCAAAGCCCACGATTATGGGAGAGCCCATCACCGTGAACCCAGCTCTAGTGTCACTCAAAGACAAAAAGAAAAAGGAGAAGCGAAAGCTGAAGGACAAAGAAGGGAAAGAGACAGGAAGCCCAAAAATGGACGCCAAGCTGGGGAAACTAGAGGACTCCAAGGGTGCCAGCAAAGATCTACCTGGCCATTTTTTAAAGGATCATCTCAACAAGAATGAAGGGCTGGCAAATGGACTGTCAGAGTCTCAGGAGAGCCGCATGGCCAGTATTAAAGCCGAAGCCGATAAGGTTTACACTTTTACCGACAACGCTCCCAGCCCTTCCATCGGGAGCGCCTCGAGGATGGAGTGCAGCACTTTGGTGAACGGGCAGGCACCAATGGCACCTCTGCATGTGTTGACCCAGAATGGGGCCGAGAGTTCAGCCGCCAAGACAAGCAGCCCGGCCTATTCGGACATATCCGATGCTGCTGATGATGGTGGTTCTGACAGCAGGTCCGAGGGCATGAGATCAAAGGCCGGTTCCCCATCAGATATTGTTTCTAGTAAGGACGGTGTAGTGAAAGGGCATTCTTCAACCACAGCACAATCATCTCAACTGAAAGAGTCCCATTCTCCCTATTACCATGGCTATGATCCTTATTATTCTCCAAGTTACATGCACCCTGGGCAGGTTGGCATCCCTGCAGCTGGAAGTAGTGGGAGCACACAGGGAATAAAGATCAAGAAGGAGTCTGAGGAAGAGGCCGAAAAGAAAGACAAGGCAGAGCAGTTAGATTCTAAGAAAGTGGATCACAGTTCTGCATCTTTACAGCCTCAGCACCAGTCAGTGATCACACAAAGACATCCTGCCCTGGCTCAGTCACTTTATTATGGCCAGTATGCCTATGGGCTCTATATGGACCAGAAGTCTCTGATGGCTACCAGCCCAGCCTATAGACAGCAATATGAGAAGTACTATGAAGACCAGAGGTTGGCAGAGCAGAAAATGGCCCAGACTGGGAGAGGAGACTGTGAAAGGAAAAGTGAGCTCCCCTTGAAAGAGCTGGGCAAGGAGGAAACTAAACAGAAAAACATGCCATCGGCCACAATCTCAAAAGCTCCCTCTACTCCGGAGCCTAACAAAAACCATTCTAAACTAGGGCCATCAGTGCCTAATAAAACTGAGGAGACAGGTAAATCGCAGCTTCTCTCCAATCACCAGCAGCAGCTTCAGGCCGACAGCTTCAAAGCTAAGCAGATGGAAAACCACCAGCTTATTAAGGAGGCTGTAGAAATGAAGTCTGTCATGGACTCTATGAAGCAGACAGGTGTAGACCCAACCTCGAGATTTAAACAAGTAAGATTGTGGAGCGTGGCCCCAACAGGGAGAGAGCAGTCTGAGACTTGTATTATACATGTCTGGGCTTGATCTGGTTAGACCTCTGACACAGGAAGGAAACCCACATTAAGAGTTTTTTCCTCTTCTCTTGAAAATATCTTAAGATTCTCGGGAGTTACTGTGTAGCTCTCAAATGTACATTATCACTATTTTCTTGTCATGTTATATAGTAAAAGGAACTGTGGACATGTGCTTTGCAGATTGTGTTCTATGCCACTAACTCGCTCTGTGACTCTGATGAGGTCTCTTAATTTCTGACTTAGACCAAGGCGAGGGCATTCCATGATGGGGCTGCTGAATTCCCACTCTGAGATTCTGAGTCTCATCTCTAAAACATTTATTTTCCATTTTCAAATTTCTGTTCGCATCTTCTTGGAAGATAATAAAGACTGGTAAAAACTGGGTTCCTACATTCACATACCCCATTTAGTTTTAGTTTTTGTTTTTAAGACCAGGTCTTGCTCTTGTTGCCCAGGCTAGAATGTAGTGGGGTGATCTCAACTCACTGCAACTTCCACCTCTTGGGTTCAACCAATTCTCCTGCCTCAGCCTCCTGAGTAGCTGGGATTATAGGCGCACACCACCACGCCCGGCTCATTTTTGTAGTTTTAGTAGAGATGGGGTTCCACCATGTTGGTCAGGCTAGTCTTGAACTCCTGACTTCATGATCAGCCCTCCTCAGCCTCCCAAAGTGATGGGATTACAGGTGTGAGCCAACCGTGCCTGGCCTTATTCGTGTTTTTAATAGAATTTGGGGCCCAAATTTCTTTTTCAGGGTGTCAGAGATGCCTAGGTTTCAGCTTTACACTCTGTGTTAAGTACCCAAAAACCCAGAGCTTTAGTGCTGAACATTTGTGAGGAGGGCGAGGAGGTTTGGGTGGCGGTACTCAGCAGCTCTCCCAGAGCCCCCCGGGGTCAGTCAGCTTGAGAACACCTGAAAATTGGTCACCATGAAACCACAAATGTGCTAGCACCTTCTATCATGGTTCACACATCCTTACCCACTGCAACCCCGTCAGCATCAATCCTCGTATTGCCAAGCACTATACACCCCCACTCTGGCCCTAACTGCCATGCTTAGATAATCCCTGGTGCATTAGAGCAAGTACCACTACCACCCCCCGCACCACCACCACCCACACACACATATTCACTTACACCTAACTTTGCATATTCTCTGAGAACCTGAATCCCCCCAGTGGGTGTATATCATGAATGGGATGGGCATCACAAAGGTTTAGGATTCTCAGTTACCCCACTTCCAGAGGCGTAAATCAGGCTGTCACTTCACAGGTCTGCATAAGAATGATACAATTTGGGGGCTTTATAGATGGCTTTGTTTTCCAGTAGAGAAGCCATAATGTGTGCTATTAATTTGAAATTTTGTTTTGATTAAGATGATAGCACATAATGAGAAGTGAGCCAATATATTAAGCCTCAGCTGCAGTAGATGAGGAAAATGTATTAGGAAACCAAGAGTTTTTCCTCGTAAGTGATGTTAATAGCTATAGCAATTACTTAAATTTACTATTATTACCTTGAGTTAGAGTTTTTAACACTCTTTTGACCTGTGCGAGATATTAAAAGGCAAATGAAGGTGGAATTGAATATGTCTGAGGATGCTATTTAATGTTGAGAAATTACAATAAGGGCCCAGCTCTGAATTTCAGCAGACCTGAGTTTGAAGCCCAGCTCTGCGACTGGGTAGCAACATGACCTTGATGTTGCTTGAACTTCAAACGCTTCGGTTTTGTCTTCTGTACAAGGGATCAGTAGTAACACTGCTTACCTGGGACATTATTACCTTGTAAGAGAAGGAGGCAAAGCAATTAGCACGGTGTCTAGCACATAAATAAATGTCAACTTAGCATTAAAATTGAGAGTAATAGTGCTGTCATGATCATTAACAAGTTTTCTTTAAAATTGAAATTTTTAAACAAATCTAATGTTTTTTTCTTTAAAAAAAAAAAAATCAGGATCCAGATTCAAGAACGTGGCATCATTACGTATACCAGCCCAAATATCTGGATCAGCAAAAGTCAGAAGAACTTGAGAGAGAGAAGAAGTTAAAAGAGGATAGTCCCAGGAAAACCCCTAATAAAGAGAGTGGTGTGCCTAGCCTTCCTGTATCATTAACGAGCATTAAAGAGGAGCCCAAAGAGGCTAAGCGTCCTGATTCTCAATCAATGGAGGAGAGCAAGCTGAAAAACGATGATCGAAAGACTCCTGTGAACTGGAAGGACTCTCGGGGAACAAGAGTGGCTGTCTCCTCACCCATGAGTCAGCATCAGTCATACATACAGTACTTGCATGCCTATCCTTACCCACAGATGTACGACCCAAGCCATCCTGCATACCGAGCTGTTTCTCCAGTCCTAATGCACAGTTACCCTGGTACGTGTTGTCGGTTCTGACTATATTGGAGGGAAGAGGCGATGTTCAAATATTAGCTGTTAAAAACTCAAGATAAATTAGAAGCTTCAAGAGTGACATTTGTTTTGCTTGTTGTTACGCTGTTTAAAGTCCTGAAGATGAAATTGATTTAATATAAGATTTCTTTTAATGAAATGTCAAGAATCTTCAGCTATAGTTTCCATAGTCTCTGATGGTCTGCTATAGCTGTTAGACTGACAGATACTTTATAGCCTATGAAAATATTCTAAGCACTTACTGTCATAATCATTATAGCTACTGTTCCTTTCACTTAAGCGGACACGTAAATGTATGAAATGGCTGTAAGCTCAATTCTGTTTATAACCTCCCTTCATCAGGATGAATTAACTGGTAGAAGAAAATTGGAGAAGCTAGATACAGTTTAATGATGATGTAGCCCATTCTTAATGGAACTCCCTATTTTAAGATCTCTTTGACTCTTATCCCAAATTCATGTAACCCACATGATTTTTTTTTTTAAAGATACAGTCCTTAACTTGATGTGGCATTTGTTGTTTATCTGCAGGGGCCTATCTCTCTCCAGGATTTCATTATCCTGTTTATGGGAAGATGTCAGGGAGAGAAGAGACAGAGAAAGTCAATACCAGCCCTAGCATCAACACGAAAACAACCACTGAATCTAAAGCACTGGATTTGCTCCAGCAGCATGCTAACCAATACCGCAGCAAGTCTCCTGCTGTAAGCCTCCTTTTGTTGTTATTTAAAAGTACTGTGTTTGGGGGAGAAGGGGGAACAAGCTAGAGAACAGTCTTGAAATATAAATGGGTTTCAGAACCCAGCTGTGATTTCAGGTTGCTGTTTTATCCTAATACATAAAGAATGGAGTGTTCAAAAGTAAGATGCTTCCACGCGTGCGAGAAAATTGTTAAAGCTTGTGTGGCAGTAGCAAGGTTTTCTTGCAAAAATCTAGTATACCTTGCTTACCCAGGAGGATGGTTGTTAGGTAGAAATTTAAATTCATAGGAACCAACTTCTGGTGCAAAATACGTTTGATAAGACATTGAGGAATTAGGTAACAGAAGAGGCTACAAACTGGTTGGCCTTTTGGGCAAATCAAGCTTTTCAAAAACATATTTTCTTGTGGGATAGGTTTTAAAAATCAGATATTTTACATTCAAATTCAGATGACCTCTTTTAATACAACAGAAAATCTGGGCCAGGTGTGGTGGCTCACACCTGTAATCCCAGCACTTTGGGAGGCTAAGGTAGGCAGATCACCCAAGGTCAGGAGTTCAAGACCATCCTGGCCAACATGGTGAAACTCTGTCTCTACTAAAAACACAATAATTAGCCTGGCATGGTGGTTGGCACCTGTAATTCCAGCTCCTTGGGAGGTTGAGGTAGGAGAATCACTTCAGCCTGGGAGGCAGAGGTTGCAATGAGCAGAAATTGTGCCACTGCACACAAGCTGGGGCAACAGAGCAAGATACTCTGTCTCACAAAAAAAAATCAAAAAGACAATAGAAAATCGGGTTCAAAATCTTCTAGCAGTAGCTGATGGGAGCAAGTAGCCCCATCTAGGCAGTAAGTTCTGCTTCCCACCAATGTGCATGGATATAAATAGAAGCGCTTCAACCTGCATCACTTACCTTTGTTGTTAGCTTGACTTCTGGAGAGATTTGAGGTTTCTACTACTTGTATTGACCCTTCATATTCACGTCATCAATGTCCATGGTTGGGGGTTCATCACTAGCAAAGCCGAGTGCTCGTGACATGTAATAAGGCACAATTTGAGCCTTGCACACTGAGGCTCGTATGCAAGAGGAATTCATGTGGCTTAGGGGTGAGAACTGTGTCTGCTGTTTTTTCGCCTTGATTCTTTGTCATGTCCCTTTAACTCTGCTGAAGTAGTACAAATATGTGTCTGTGAAAGGTGGCTCTTCCCCAAAAAGGGTGAGTGCTCTAGTCCTAGAGATGGTTGTGAAGAGAGACTCAACAAAAATAGGATGGTGCTTGGCTATGAAAGAGTTTAAGGTACATTGAAACAATAATATCTGCAATGTGTATAGGTCCACCAGCGACTCTATAGAGAAACTAGAAAAGGGGATTTCTGAATCTTTTTCTGAGTCTTCCTTCTTAGTACAAGGATTTCTTTTAAGTGAGAAGGATAACGTTAGTTAAAGGGTGGTTAGGTTCTAAAGGTAGAAGGGCATAGGAAATAAACCATCCTTACCCCAGACTATGGTTTGGGAGGAAAGGAGCTTCTCTGTGGGAGTTCAGAAATTGAGAGATTCCAAATGCGAGTGTAGGACACTGATTTCTTGTGCTTTATATTGGCATATAATTTTAGGGCATGTTTTTTCAGTAGAACAAAATGCGTACACACACATTTAAAATTGTGAGATAGGTTCTCCCCACAAAATACAAGTGTAATTGGAAAACTTGACTTTGAAGGTATCTCCAAAACAATTTATTTTGTAGCAGTTGTTTCTGGGAAGCAAGTGGGTGAATTCTTAACCTGCACTTATGAACGAATATAGAGAGAAGTCCTTATTTTCATCATTTCAGGAAAACATTGGTGTCACTTGGTTTACTTTGGGTGGAGCAGTTCCTTAGTGTTGGCTTAATTCCAAATGAAACTAATGCATGTCTTTTGAAATCTCTTTAGTTTCTAAAGAATTATATCCTTATATTTACTTTTAATCATTAACAAAATATCGTCGAAGGGACAAAGGTGGTTTAGTACTCTTCTAAGTTGATTTTCAGAGCATTAAGGGGGGAAATTTCTCTTTTCTGTTGCAGCCAGTGGAAAAGGCTACAGCTGAGCGGGAACGGGAGGCAGAAAGGGAAAGGGATCGCCACTCCCCCTTCGGCCAGCGGCACCTGCACACGCACCACCACACCCATGTTGGCATGGGTTACCCGCTAATCCCGGGTCAATACGACCCTTTTCAAGGTCAGCAGCTCTGTCATTACTGTGTCTTTGGCCATTCTGCTTTGGAAAACAGTTGTTAAAATTGCATTTCACATCTTAAAATAAAAATATTGAGCTTTGAGTTCACATTAGCTCTCAGGAGGGTTTTTAACACTTATTTCCTAGTGACACAGCTAAGGCTATTCTCACATCTTTGTATTCTATTGAGACATGAAATGGCTACCACTTAATAATTGTCACCAGTTGATGTTATCTGCGGCTTACTGTTATCTCACAGACTGAGGGTGGCGGCCAGTGTCTGGGGCACTGAATATAACAATCAGAAGATCAGATATCTACTTCAGAGAAATTGTAGGAAAAGGGGGAGATGGTGGGAGGCTTTGGTGAAATTACATGCTCTGATTTCTGCATGGGTTTGAAGTTGCTCTTTTCGCATGGAAGTCGTGGGAGTAATGTGATCAGGTTTAACAGTTTTATAACCTTATTCAAACTCTACACCGCTGTGACTTCACTAAATGGGAGAACTGAGAAAGAAAAACATTTTTAAAAAGCCATCGGATTGATATGAGGGAAACTTCACCTTGTTTACTAGTTGAACATGTATTATTTGTCCCATCTTTGTTATTTCCTAGCAGGTGGGTGATGTCACCATCTCTAAAACTGGCTAGAATACCACAGGTTGCATGGCTTTAAGCAACAAGAATTTATTTTCTCCCAGTTCTGGAGGATGGACGTTCAAGATCTGGGCGGCAGCACAGCCAGCCTCTGCTGAGGCCTCTCTTCCTGGCCTGTGTGTAGCCGCTGTCTTGCTGTGCGCTCATATGACCTCTTCTTTGTCCATGAGCTGGTGGGTGGGGAAGGGGCAGGGGGTCCCTCGTGTGCTTTCCTGTAAGGACACTAATCCTGTCCTATTAGGGTCCCACCGGTACGACCTCATTTAACCTTAATTACCTTCCTCTAGGTCCCATCTCCAAATCTAATCACATTATGGATTTAAGGCTTCAACATATTTTAAGCAGACATAATTTAGCCTATTGCCCTTGCCAAGTTGCCTCTTTCACTGCTGTGTGAATAGAAAGTAAGAGAATATGTTTGAAGGTGTTTCCAAAACTGGGAAGTGATATACAAATGTGAAGGGTCATTCTTATGTACTCTAGTCTTTTTACTTAGTGTCAATTAGTAATGTTGTTAAAAGAGAGCTTTTCAATTTCTTAATTTGTATTGGGTCTGGTAAGAACTTGGAAGAGAGAGAGGTTTTATTTCTAGTCTAACACATTATATATAAAGTATATATGAGCAGAAAATAATTGTCTCTTTTAAGATAATATCATTATTGTCATTTTACTGTCTTACATTACCTCTGGGAAATGAAAATGTATCCAAATAGATTGCAGTACATTGAGCTCCATAGAGACAGTGCCGGGGCAAGTGAGAGCCGGATGGGCACTGGGCGACTCTGTGCCTCGCTGAGGAAAAATAACTAAACATGGGCAAAGGAGATCCTAAGAAGCCGAGAGACAAAATGTCATCACATGCATTTTTTGCGCAAACTTGTCAGGAGGAGCATAAGAAGACGCACCCTGATGCTTCAGTCAACTTCTCAGAGTTTTCTAAGAAGTGCTCAGAGAGGTGGAAGACCATGTCTGCTAAAGAGAAGGGAAAACTTGAAGATAGGGCAAAGGCGGACAAGGCCCGTTATGAGAGGGAAATGAAAACCTATATTTCTCCTAAAGGGGAGACAAAAAAGAAGTTCAAGGATCCCAATGCACCCAAGAGGCCTCCTTCGGCCTTTTTCCTGTTCTGCTCTGAGTATCGCCCAAAAATCAAAGGAGAACACCCTAGCCTGCCCATTGGTGATGTTGTGAAGAAACTGGGAGAGATGTGGAATAACACTGCTGCAGATGACAAGCAGCCTTATGAAAAGAAGGAAAAATTCCAAACGGATATTACTGCATATTGAGCTAAAGGAAAGCCTGATGCAGCAAAAAAGGGAGTTGTCAAGGTTGAAAAAAGCAAGAAAAAGAAGGAAGAGGAGGAAGATGAAGAGGATGAGGAGGAATAGGAAGAAGATGAAGATGAAGAAGATGATGATGATGAATAAGTTGGTTCTAGCGCAGTTTTGTTTTCTTGTCTATAAAGCATTTAACCCCCTTGTACACAACTCACTCCTTTTAAAGAAAAAATTGAAATGTAAGGCTGTGTAAGATTTGTTTTTAAACTGAACACGGAGTCTTTTTTTGTATAGTTAACACGCTACCGAATGTGTCTTTAGACAGCCCTGTCCTGGTGGTATTTTCAATGGCCACTAACCTTGCCGGGTACAGTATGGGGGTTGTAAACTGGCATGGAAATTTAAAGCAAGTTCTTGTTGGTGCACAGCACAAATTAGTTATATATGGGGATGGTAGTTTTTTCATCTTCAGTTGTCTCTGATGCAGCCTGTATGAAATAACTGTTGTTCTGTTAACTGAATACCACTCTGTAATTGCAAAAAAAAAAAAAGTTGCAGCTGTTTTGTTGACATTCTGAATGCTTCTAAGTAAATACAATTTTTTTTATTAGGAAAAAAAAAAAGAAAGAAAGAAAATGTATCCAAATAAAAGACATAGAAGGAGACATGGTAATCTTCCCTAGGTTTGCGTTTTTTTACTCTGTTTTTCCCCAGGACTGTCTTCTATAGAATTTAAAAGAATTCTCTATTAGGCACCATCATGCCATTTGGAGCTATTACAGGCTCTGACTGCTACCTTCATCTTGTGGGGTGAAAGTTAAGAGCGTTTCTAAGTTTGATTTACTGATTCTGTGTACCTTATGAGATGCATTGTGTTCAGTCGCTGGGGAGAATGTTAAAGTGATAACAATTATTATGAAAGTATTGTATTCCAGGCAGATAGCATGCGGCTTCTGTAATTCGCTGTGACTTTTGATTCCTGTTGTTACCTGGCATCTATTATTTCTCCTGAGCTTCCTATTCAGGAATGCATGCAAACCATTTAGCACCATGCAGAGTCGGAATGCTGCATCTCCTTTTAATAGCTATGAAGAAAACTGCAGAGTGTTCAAGAAAGGATAGGTAGCAAATAGACCAAATGGTTTATACTGTGTTCTTGCTGCATGAAACAGTTCACGTGTGTGTTCAGGAGAGGACAGTGTGCTGCTGCTGGGTCTGTGGCCCTTCTCCACTAGGCCTGTATCTACTCTTGTCCTTCTAAAGGTCACAGACACTCTATATTTTTGTCTCCATTAGGCTTGACCTCTGCTGCCCTTGTTGCCTCTCAGCAGGTGGCCGCCCAGGCATCTGCATCTGGAATGTTTCCTGGACAAAGAAGGTAAATATCCTCTACATTTTAAATTAGTTCTAAAGAGAAAATGTCTTAATGGTTGGGAGGAAGCAAGTACGGGATTTTTAGACCAAAAACCTATCTCCTTGGGTTCTATATCATTATAATGAGTGTGTTTATTATGCCAATATGAGTTGCTTCACATGCAACTTAAAATTCCATGAACCTCATTCTATGAGGCTTATGTAGATGAGTAATTAACTGATTAGTTTTTCAGACAGTTGAAATTTTCTTGGCTTATCCTTACAGCATTGCTAAAATAATTCACCATGACTCCCTTTGTTTTATTATATTTAAAGACAAAGTCGCAAATGGAGACATTTATTTTCATAATGCTAAAGGTAACGTTTGCTCTTTGATATTTTAAATTATTCCTTAAGTTTTAAGAAGGAAAATTATTTAAAGGAATTAAATTATTAATATTATAAAATTAATATTTTTCACAATGGATATCATTACTTTGTGTTTATTCACTTTCTCTGGAATTGAATTCCACATTTGAATGGAATGAAAAATAAGCCTATCAGTCTTATAGTTTTCAGGTTTGCAGTGTCAAATGTTGATAGAGGCCAGGCACGGTGACTCATGCCTGTAGTCCCAGCTCTTTAGGAGGCTAAGGCAGGCTAATCAGCTGAGGTCAGAAGTTCCAGACCAGCCTGGCCAACATGATGAAACCCTGTGTCTACTAAAAATACAAAAATTAACTGGGCGTGGTGGTGTGCGCCTATAATTCCTGCTACTAGGGAGGCTGAGGCACGAGAATTCTTGAACCTGGGAGGCAGAGGTTGCAGTAAGTTAAGATTGTACCATTGCACTCCAGCCTGGGTGACAGAGTGAGACTGTGTTTCAAGAAAAAAAAAGTTGATTGAAGCCTGTGCTAAAGTTTGCTTTTCTTTTGCAGAGAATAACAAGATTGGAAATGTACATTGTCATGTGACTGGATCACATGGGAAGCTTTATACAGACATCAGTTCCATGGTGTTGATTTGAAATGCCTTAATGGCAGGCAAAAACCAGTCATTTCATTTTTGTAAATTACAGATTTTATCACAGAGTAACAAATGTTGCTGTAATTAAACTTCTGTTTTATATATATATATATATACGTATACATATCTGTATATATACATATATATATATATTATATATATATATATTCTTTACTTTTTGTATCAGTAACCAGGCTCGCACACACAGGGTCTGCTGCCACGTCGCAAACCACTCAGTAAAGGAAATTAAAAATGTATTTGTCATGTTGAAAAGTGTTAGCCAGAAAAGGCTACTTTCTTTCTTTTCCTTTTCCTTTAAAATTGTAAATAAATAATGTTATGTATCAGTGTGCCTGAACCTTGCATATCCTTCACATATTTCCCATAAGCCCCTCAGAAAGGCTAACTGTGATGATGACACTTTGGTACAATTTAGATGTCTATTTGGTGGCTCCTGTTAAAGATGCATCAGTGTAAAATGTTCCTGTAGTCACTCTTTGTACTTGTGTATTGTGGAAAAAATACTTTTGGAAGGCATGGGGTTGCCAGTACCACAAAAACTGTGTTGTATATAATGTAAAGATTAAAATGGGGAAATAATGAGCATCTGTGAATAATGAGGTGTCATTTTTTGATAATCTTGAATGGCAAATAACCCAATAGCCTGCGTACCAGAGACATCTGTGATTGTTCTATTACTTGAATAGTCCTACAGTCTTTTTTTTTTTTTTTTTAATGTTTACAATTACCCAGTTTTAGAAGAGAGAGACTTTAATGCCATTGCCTGGTTACTTGTTTTATGCTGTAATCTAGTTTATTTTATGTAAAATGTATATTGAATGCTTTCCTTTTTTATACCTGCCTTAAATAATTTGGCAATCAGAATTAAAAAGGTTTTTTTTTTTTTTAAATAATGGCTTCTTGTCTGTCTCATGTTATTTTCTACCTGGCTGATAGTCATTCTAATTTTCAAAGAAGAGTTTCTTAATATTATTAATATCCAACATGAAACACAGTACATAGATAGTAACTTTTCGGATAAGATACATAGGCATAACAACCAAATAGTGTATTTAATTTGGTGAATGTATTCCCATTCACATGGTATTTACTGTAAACACGGAGCATGATATCACTAGAAATTGGTAGATACAGGTTTCTGTGGTATGGAATAATACTCCAAAGATGCAAATCTTAGGACATGTGGACAGTAGGGAAAATATGTAAAAAGTCATTCAGTAGCTGGACGCGGTGGCTCACGCCTGTAATCCCAGCACTTTGGGAAGCCGAGGCGGGTGGATCATGAGGTCAAGAGATCGAGACCATCCTGGTCAACATGGTGAAACCCCGTCTCTACTAAAATTAGCTGGGCATGGTGTCGCGTGCCTGTAATCCCAGCTACTCAGGAGACTGAGGCAGGAGAATTGCCGGAACCCAGGAGGCGGAGGTTGCAGTGAGCCGAGACCGCGCCATTGCACTCCAGCCTGGGTAACAAGAGCGAAACTCCGTCTCAGGAAAAAAAAAAAAAGTCATTCAATCATTTAGCTGTCATTACATTGATTTACTAAAATATTTTAAGCCACATTTTAACTGCCTCTTCCCCCACTTCTTTGCTTTGAACAAACACTGAGTGCCTGTTTTATCCCAAGCATAGTACAGGGTGCTGGCATATTACAGTAACAAATTCTTGTCTTTACAGAGCTTTCATTTTTTAGTGGGTGGGATAAACATATCATAAAATATTTAAATAATATACAATGCATTTTAGATGGCTGATAAATGCAATGAAGAGAAATGAAGCATGGGAGTGGGGCACAGTGAATGTGTGCTGGAGTTTGTAATTGTAAACAGAGTGGTCACTAAAGAGATGAGGGAGGGGCCAGGCGAGGTGGCTGACACCTGTAATCCCAGCACTTCGGGAGGCCAAGGTGGGCAGATCGCAAGGTCAAGAGATCGAGACCATCCTGGCCAACATGGTGAAACCCCATCTCCACTAAAAATACAAAAATTAGCTGGGCATGATGGTGCGCACCTGTAGTCCCAGCCACTCGGGAGGCTGAGGCAGGAGAATTGCTTGAAGCTGGGATGCACAGGTTGTAGTGAGTCATGTTTGTCATGATTGCACAACTGCACTCCAGCCTGGTGATAGAGTGAGACTCCGTCTCAAAAAAAAAAAAAAAAAAAAAAAAAATTAGGAAGGGATCCATGCTGATGTCTTGGGGAACAGCACTATGGTAAGGTGGAAAAGCCAGTAAGTACCATAAGCCCCAAAGTGGGAGTGTGCTTTGTATGTTTGGACTGGTTAATTTCAATGCTTCATTCTAGCTGTAAGTTTTTATTATTTTACTATAATTGCTAATGACGGTTTACCACTTGGTATACTAAAAAGTTCTTTAAGCTGACAATTTGTCTTGGTATAATTTGGTTAGATCTACCTAGAGGCCTTTGCTTCACAAATGAATAGAATTTTGCAATCAAAAATAAATGTTTCCCTTGCTTTTGAAAGACCACCTTAAAGTGTTGCCTTTGCTGCTTGCCTTATACATCTAGTCCATGTTCTTAATAGATTTCACTAAGAAGGTGTTTTTCTGTTAGTTTTCAGTTTTTCTTGTGAATACCTTCCAAGTTATCATTTATAATAACATTGTTTATGGTATTTATTCCTACACATAAGAGTATTTCACATATTTTTCCTCATTTTTAAGCTATCAAAGCTTTTTAGTTTTTATGCGACATCTGGATTATCCTTGAAGACTTGAGGTAATTTGTCTTATACTAGTTAAGCAAGTATGTTTTCTCTGTTGAGAATACAGTTAGCAAGGGATCTGTTGGTTGCCTACATGCTGATCCAGTTCTTGACCAACGTCTTAACTGTCAAAGCACAGAAGCAGAATTAAGGTCAACTTACATCTTCACTAGCTGAATTATTATGTTCCTGTTGGTAGCTGGGTGATACCGTGGATTCCTGATGAGTTTTTGCTGTTAGTAATATATATGGAAGCCAGCCTTACCTTTCAGCTGCAAAATGACTAGATGTATGTTTATTACATACCAAGCTTTTAAAAATCACTTCTAATTAGGTGATTAAATAAATAGAGTTGTAAATAGGTGCATTGGACCATATTTAACTCTGCTACTGTAATAAACAGGAATGCTGATAAATACAAAGAGATATATGACCAAAAGCACATTGTGATTTGAATAGGTTCTTCCTTTAGGCTTTTACTGCAACATTATTCATGACGGTTTAGATTAATCACTAAATGAAGTTTTGTTTCTTCCTCTTACTGTTACAGTGTTGTCTTTGCTGATGACAAAGACATGAATTGCCAAAGGCCAGAGCTTATTTATGTTATATGTGCCATTTCTCTGGCTGAGTATATAGTCAGTACCAAATGGTAAATTAAAGATTCCCAAAAGACAAGCATACTTGGCTCCATTATATTACTATGATGAATCTGCCATTAATATGTTCTAATTGTTTTACTCTTATAGACATAAAATCAGTCCCCTTAGTGACTAATAATAGGGTTTATTGATTTTACTAAACATTATTCATTCCAGGCCTGCTCATATCAGCTTGTTCTGAACATATGCAAAAAGCCTGCAGTGCTGACACAGTGCAAATTAACTTCATGGAGAAATGGGAGTGAAGAGTTGTTTACAGCTGTGGTCCCATTGAATACAGAATATTAAAAACCAGGTAATAGGCTCCATATAGAACCATTTATTCCTAGATTAAGATCTCAGATGGCTTTTGCATGGAAACTTGCCATTGCTGTTCAGCCCAGGTCATTAACACTTGCAGAGTAAAAAGGCTGGCCTTATACATTCACACTGGCTGTGACCCTGATTTAGTGTGGTTTCAGCCCAAGGGTCTGTGAGTAACCAGAATGAATAGCTCTGATTGATGCAGGATAAAACAGCAGTTTAAATGATAATTACTGGTCATTTCATTCCTTCCCTGACTCTGAAAAAGAGACAAGACAGGCAAAGCCATTTATTATTGTTTTTGTCACTCACCGCAGTCATCCATCCCCTGCTTCTTGCAGTAGGCTAAGTCATAAATGTTGTTTACTTTCAGTTAACTTTAGAAAACAAAGCAAAGCCCCCAGTCTGACTTAGCAGGGCCTCTGCTACTGATTCTTTTTGATTTTTCTTAACAAAATCACTCTTTAAAGCAAGGAGTTAGTTCTCAACCTTGACACTATTGGCATTTGGGACCAGATAATTCTTATTTTTTCTTTTCTTTTTTCTTTTTTTTTTTTTTTGAGACAGAGACTTGTTCTGTTGCCCAGGCAGGAGTGCAGTGGTGCCATCACAGCTCACTGCAATCTTCACCTCCTGGGTTCAAGTGATTCTCCTGCCTCAGCCTTCTGAGTAGCTGAGATTACAGGCATGTGCCGCCACGCCCAGCTAACTTTTGTATTTTTATTTCAGATGGGGCGTCTCCATGTTGGTCAGGCTGGTCTCAAACTCCTGACCTTGTGATCCACCCGCCTTGGCCTCCCTAAGTGCAGGTATTACAGCGTGAGCCACCGTGCCCAGCCTGGGACCGGATAATTCTTTGCTGTGAGGGAACTGTTCTGTGCATTGCAGGATATTTAGCAGTTGTGACCTCTACTCTGGAGATGCCAGTAGCAACCTCCCCCACAAATTGTGATAACCAACAGGTCGTATGAAATTTAGAACTCCTGCCTAGCCCCTGCCCCACAGGTAGAGTGCTGAGTTCTATTGTTCTTTGTTGCTTTTGGAGATAGGAAAGCCGTCCATGGTTCCTTGTAACTCCATGTAAATAAAATGGGGATGCTCATTTGACCCATGTGGATAAAAGTGGCCCAGATTTCCAGCTCTTTAAAAAGAATTGGATGATCCAGACTTTAACATAATAATTAGTAGTTCTTTT